GAGAGAGAGAGAGAGAGAGAGAGAGAGAGAGAGAGAGAGAGAGAGAGAGAGATACATTCCTGGAGAGAGAGATCCCAGCCCCTTCCTCCCTCCTCCTCCTCCCTGCCGGCGGCGGCAGAGAGGGCTGTTTGAACCCGGGCTGCAGAGGCGAGCAGCGGGGCTGCAGGAGGCTGAACCACACGCTGCTGGGGAAGTCCAGGCTCGGTGCAAACATCTTTAAACCCGCTCCAACTACCTTTTTATCTCTCTTTTCAGCTTGTTCGTGGACGCGCCGGGAGAGCAGATTTATTTRAGTATAAACAAATAAGTAAAATTAAAAACAAAAGTTAACTTTCTGGGTTTCATCTGCCCCGTGCGGTGGCCATCATGCGTGCCCAGCGGACTCTCCAGTCGGGCCGGACAGCGCTGCCGCTGCTGCTCGCCGGGCTCCTCGCGGCTCTGTGGCCGCTCTGCGCCGCCAGCTGCCCGGAGAAAAACCTGGAGGTCAGGGAGGAGGAAGCGAACGTGGTCCTGACCGGAACCGTGGACGAAATCATTAACATGGACCCGGTGCACAACACGTACTCCTGCAAGGTGAGTGGACGGGCTCTCAGGTGAAGTTCAGCAGCGCACACCTGCTGCTGCCTGCCTTTTTAAAATAACTCACATTTAAGCAGAATATGCAGCTGTTAAAACTTATTAACACTTTTTAAATTTAATTTTTTAAATTTTGTTGTTAAAACTCATTCAACCATAGTCGTTACATGGACACTGACAGAGAACCCTCATAAAATATGTTATTTGTTTATTACGTTTTTATTTCCACTGACCAATTAGACAGGCCTAACCGACTATGTAATCATCCCAAACACACTGCAGCAGGAAGCTGGTCCCTCAGAGCCCCCCCACCCCCCACCCCTCTCTCTTTATAGTCATACAAATTGAAAATATGCAACTTGTCATTTCTCTGTGGCCGCAGGGACAGAATGTTGGATCTAGATTTAATCCATTGTGCAGTTTGACRGGAGGCATGTTACTAGTGGCAGGAAGTGAACAAGTGGTGTCCTTGGGGATGACAAAGTCCACAGTTAGGAGGAAAACATCACAAAGTTACCACGCACCAAAACAACGCTCATTTAAGTTCCATTTGTTTGGAAGAATGTGTGCTGGCTGAGCAGAAGCGCTGCAAGGTGTGGCTGGGACAGTAACTAGGACACCGAATCAATGAAGTGAGGTCAAAAACACGATGGAACATAAGAAATCAACGTCGCAACTAAGAAATTGTTCAGGTTTTTGCGCAGAAAACATGGTACTTTAGAATAAAAGGCAGCAAAACGTCTCAAAAAGGTTAAACATCCCCTCTCATTTGACTTATTAAAAAAAACTAGCTGTTCAACAGTCCWAGATCGTTTTTGCTGGATGGGACTATATGTTACACTTTTCTGCCTGGATGGCTCCTTCCCAGATGTAGCTGGGTCCATGCCAGAGGCACTAATGCACCCCTATACAATCAGAGAGGCAGGCTTCTGAAACATGCTCAGAACAGGCTGGTTCTCTGTCCTGTTTTAGTATGGTGGACGTAGCATTTATGAAAAAAAAACAAGTCAAAGTTTGATTGATCTGACTTTGAGTTTTTCATGTCTTCTTCTTTGCATGATAGAGCTTTAATTTACATTTGTGAATACTGTGAGCTGCATTTCCAGACGGTGATATGTGGAGGTCTTCCTGAGCCTGTGCAGTGATGTCCAGAACACAATCAGTTCTGTTTTTAATGCAGTTTTTTTAACAGTGTGTTTGGATTTTTTTTGTCTTATTTTCTTCAGATTCTTGAAWTCTTTTGATGATATGATGAACTTTAGATGATGAGATATTCACAGTCTTCCCAATTTTCCATTAAGGAACAATATWCTGAAATTGTTTCAATGTTTTTCTTTAAGACTAGTGAATCTGCACATTTTTCTTTATTTCTGTAAGAGTCAGCCTTTCTAAAATACTCTTTATACTTTATTTTTACTGATCTGTGATCAAATAACCCAATTCTTATTGTATCCTTTACTTTTACAGCCTGTTGAAGACGCAACTTTTTGGGACGTGTTGTGCCCATAAAGTTGAAAATTGCCTTCTTATTTTAAGAATGGTACAGTTTCTTTGTTCCAACAGTTAATATATTTTCTATGTTGTAAATAAAAAGTTTTATTTTTTAGGTTTGCAAATCATTGCATTGTGATTTTATTCTCGTTTAACACGTCTCAAAATCTGTTCTTTCTGATTAAGTCTTATTATCACACCATTACCTAACCCCTCTACCCCTCTACCCTCCCAAATCAGGAAGCCCCCCTTCCTGCATCCTCCCTCCCTGCCTCTCGCATCGGGAAACTAAACTTTTGCACCAGGGCAGACTTGCGGTAGGCCACTCTATAATCTGTGAAAAATAAACAAGTTGTGTTTGGTCAGCTTCCGCACTCCTCTTTTCCTTTTGCGCCCACATGCTTCCTATGTCCCACTGAATGAATGGTGGGGTGGGGTGGGGGGGGATTAGAGGCGCACGGCTCACGGTCTGTAAACAGAAACCAACAATACGCTGAAACGACACAAGACAGCTAAAACGTAACACAAGGCGGGATCTTTTCCAAGACTACCATGACTGTGCATAAAGTTCCTCAGGTTCATGCATGCAGCCTTACAGGGGGCTTTAGCGGTGGTCTTATCAGTCTGAATCTGAAGCTTCTGGATGAGACCTGTTTGTGCAGAAAGTTTTGAGTCAGAATTTTCAGACTGCAACCTACATATTATCTCTAAAACCTAAAAAGAACTTGGATAACTCATAGGTGCACCTTCTTAAAATGTTGTAATTAACAGTTTGGGGTCAACTCTGTCCGTTAGCGAAATGTTTCAGAAACCAGTGAATGGGTTGTAATGAAACTTCCTGTTTAAAGGTATATTGCATGTCTCTGGTGCTGGCGAAACTCTAATATGTGCATTCCTGTGCGATCGTTTTCTAAAGGTCAGGGTCTGGCGCTACTTGAAAGGGAAGTCCAACGTCAACCGTGAAATCCTTCTGGACGGAGGCAACAAAGTGATGATCGGCGGGTTCGGCAACCCCCGGATCTGTGACAACCAAGTGGCCACGGGCGACACGCGCATATTTTTCCTCAACCTTGCGCCGGAGTCCGTGGGGCCGGAGCACCAGAACGAACTCCAGCTCAACTCCAGTCTGATGAGGATTACTCTCCGCAACCTGGAGGACGTGGAGCACTGCGTGGAAGGTAAGGGAACCGGGGAGGCTGAACGTTTTTCCAGTCGAYTGCCTGTGATGTATTTCCACAGCGTGTCTTACAACCCGAAGAACTCGCGGTGATTGTGAGTGGCTTACAGGAGCCGAGGTTTCACCCTGGCTGCTACAATGACATAGCCTCGGGGTCATTGTGTTAAAAGTCTCCCCCCCCACCCCCAACTTCATGAAACAAGAACACCTGAGTCATTCCAGAGGCTTTGTTGCTATGGTATTCCTTCAGACATTCAGTAAAGCCTTTAGGTGGGTGTGACTAATAACCAGCTTGGAGACACGGCGAAGGGATGATTCTCAACCTTTGCACCGTGTAGCCGGGCCTTTTTATTAGGCCAGAATTTGAACTCTCTCACTTTTACAAACACACATGGGAGCTTTACTGGGCTTCTGCTTTTTTAACTTTAATGTAAGACAATAACATTAAATTACAAAAAGAGGCCCTTTAGTTGACCACCGTTGACCACATGGGGAAAAAAAGAGGAAATGTTTGTTGTTTTTCTTTACAGCTTTGGCATGAAAAATTAACTACTGTTGTTCTTTAAAATCCTTCTTTTGGTTCAGGAGTAATTTGTCAGATGCTTATAAGAAGAATCATGCAGCCGTAACTAATAAATCTTACCTCTGACCGTTACTGTGAGTGTGTAGCAGGCTGTGCGAGTGAGCAGTAAGCTTGCTGCTGTTTTTTTTTTTTTTTTTACTGGCACTTGACAAAGTTGGCAGCTGTTCAAAGTTTGAATTTAAGCAGCCGGGAGCGCCGGAAACAAGGTAAAATCAGATCATGAATCACCTCGCTGAGGGTTTTCTGATTCAGTCACTGTTTGGGAGTCCTGTGCTCGGCGTTTCTCGGCACTTTTCTATGAGCGGTTCAGGGTAGTGGGATGTTCCAGTGGATGGAGCTTGTTTGCAGTGTTAAGTTGCATTTGGCATGCACATAAAACCTCTTCTGTTTGTCTGTCCAGACACGAAACACTGCTCCGCTAACCTTTTTTATTCAGCCCCCTTTTTCTTCTTCTTGGACTCCTGCAAGGGAAAGGAGAGTTTCTTGGCTCCGAAAACCTGTTGAGAATGTGCCCTTTTTGTTTTGCAGGCTTTATGTTTTGAAGAGGGTTTACTTTGCATAACCTGATTTTCTCATATTGCCTTGCATTTAAAGGAACAGTGACAAAAAACTGCATTACAGAACTTTTAGACAGAATCTAAACACATAAAAGCTCATGCTTTGTAAATCTTACAAAGTTCAGAAGATTCTTATCCTTTGATGATCCAACAAGTCATATTTGAGGACACCTCAAGTCCAGACTGCTCATGATCTCTTCCTCTTGTTTTTGGTGAATGGATCTGGCCTTGATAATTAGCTTGAAAGCCTTCACCCAGAGGAAAATGAGCTTTGAGGCTTGTTCAAGTGAAGAGTTTTAATTAAGACAGTTGAGTCAGATCCTATCCTATCCACACGAACACAAACCCTGGAGACTGTGGGATGTGTGCGCAGCGGGACAAGACTCTACCTGCCGCAGCACTCATTGCACCCTCCTTTGCTCTCTCCTCATTCTTGACATTTTCGATAGCTAGGATAGACTTAGGAATGCCTGGCAGAGGGCTAGGTGGGGAGGTGCATTGTCTGAAGTGGAAGAAAAAAGGGCTTTGTGCGAGTGCCTTTGCAACTGCAAGCCTTGAAAGGAACATGGGTGTAAGGAGAAGGAAGATGAGGGCTGTAAAGTGGTAGACAAACACAGTTTTTGGTTGAAATGTACAAGATGCAATTTCTATTGAGGTTAAAATAAGAGGTTGTTGTTGGAGGTAATTCGGAAGKTTTATAATCTGTTTTGCTTTGTGGCAGCTGGTTAGGCAGATAACTGTTTTAGAGTTTGTTCTTTAGTTTTCCACATTGTAACTACCCAGAACTAGTCATCGCAATATACAGCGGGTAAAATAAGTATTGAACACGTCACCTTTTTTCTCAGTAAATATATTACTAGAGATGCTAATGACATGAAATTTTCACCAGATGTTGGTAACAACCCAAGTGATCCA